TTTTTTGGCACCAGGGATTGAACTCAGGGGCAACCACTGAGCCTCATCCCCAGCCCTTATTTGTATTTTATTTAGAGATAGGGTCTCACTGAGTTGCTTTGGGCCTTGCTAAGTTGGTGAGGCTGTGATCTTCTGCCTCAGCTTCCTAAGCCGCTGGGATTTAGGCATGCGCCACCACGCCCGGCAATATATTTTTTAAAATACTGAAAAGTACACTCTAAGAGGTTGAATTTTATGGCATGTAAGAAAGATAAGAAACATAAATAATGGTTAGATTTGTTTGATAAGCAGAAACAGATATGAAATAATGTAAAATTAAAGTTGAAGTGGAAAGTTAGAACCTAGAGAAAAGAATATAAATAATAGCAAATATAATAATGTTAATATTTAACCACTATGAATCACTATTAATATTTAAGTTACCAGAATATACATAGATTTCATTACTAAAAAAAGAGAAAATATATTAGTTCCTAATTGGAAGAAATATAGGGCTTTATATATGGGTCACTGGCTGCTTATTATAGTCAGAAAAATTTTGTTGCTATTTTGGGGATTGAACCCAGGGGCACTTTAGCACTGAGCTACATCTATAACCCTTTTTATTATTTTAGTTTAAGACAGGGTCTTACTAAATTGCCCAGGCTGACTTCAAATGTGGAGATACTTCTGCTTTAGCCTCCCAAGTCACTAGCACCAGCATACCCAATTTTTGTAGTTACTTTTGATAGACTCTTGAAGCCTTTGGTAGTTACATTCAATTCTTAGAATTTAGAATACATAGATGGATGAATAAACTAGTATTTTTCTTTATCACTTCAACCACTTATTTTTTAAAGAATTTTATTAAGATATAATTGACATAAGGAATCGCACATATTTAAAGTGAACACCCCTGATCATCATCTCAATTGAGATAATAAACATATCCATCACCCCAAAAAGGTTCCTCAGTGCCTATTGATAATTCCTCCCTCTGCTTCTCCCCATGCCACCCCATCTCCAGGCATTCACTGGTCTGCTTTCTGACATTACAGATGAGTTTGCCTTCTGTAATACTTTATATGAATGCAATAATATAGTATGTTCTCTTGTTTTATTAATTTTTTAAAATTTTTTTTAGTTGTTGACAGACCTTTATTTTATTCATTTATTTATATGTGGTGCTGAGAATCTAACCCAGTGCCTCACATATGCAAGGCAGGTGCTCTACCATTGAGACACAACCCCAGCCCCTGTTCTCTTGTTTTATTATAGCTTCTGTTTTAAAATATTTTTTTAGATATTGATGGGCCTTAATTTTATTCATTTATTTATATGTGGTGCTGAAAATCGAACCCAGTGCCTCACACATGCTAGGCAAATGATCTACACTGAGCTACAACCCCAGCCCTTAGTATAACTTCTTTGATACTCATTAATTATTTTGAAATATTTTATCTTTCTGTAGTTGATTTTGTTTTATTGTTAAATAGGATTCCTTTGTGTGAATATACTATAATTTATCCATTCACCTGTTAATGGAATTTAGTTAGTTCCAGTTCTTGGCTATTACAAATATAGATGCCATGAATAAGCCTTTTACGGATATGTGTGTTCATTTTTCTTGGATAAATGCCTAGGAATCCAATGGCTATGATAGGTATTTATTTAATTTTTTAGAAATTGACAAACTGTTTTGTAACCTTTACATTACACCCATCATCAGTGTATGAATATTCCTGTTATTCTCATCAATACTTGATATGATAGGCTGTTTTAGCCTTTTGAATATTAAACAAACAAACAAATTAGGGTTTTAATGTGCATTTCCCAATGATTATTGATGTTGAACATCTTTTTATGTGCTTGTTATCCATGTATCCTTCATAAGGTTTCTGTTCAATTTTTTGTCCTTTTTGAAAATTAGATTGTTTTCTTATTGTTGAGTTTAAAAGTTCTTTTATGTTATAGATTCAAGTACTTTGTCAGATATATGATCTGTAGAGTTTTATCCTTCTCTGCCCATAGCTTGTTATTCTCTAAAGAGTGTGTTTCAAAAGAAGTTCTTAATTTTGAGGAGGTCTAAGATCAGTTTTCTTTCTTTCACAGATTATACTTGTGGTGTGGTATCTAAGAAATATTTACCTAACCTAGGGTCACAAAATTTCTCTTATTTTTTTTTTCTTTTTAAAATGTTATTGTCTTAAGGTTTACATTTGGTTTTTGCTTACTTGCTTGCTTGATTTCTTTCTTTCTTTCATGGTGCTTCATGGGAGAGCAGCACGTCACAGCCAAATACTTTTATTATAACATTAAATGACTAAAACTGCTTATTCTGTAAACATACCGGTTTTCTGTGTCTTCAGTTCATCTTAATCTATTTAGTTCCCAGCATCTTTTGAAAACCTCTTTTGAATGTGGAGTTATTCATTTCAGAGAATAGCTCTGCTGCCTTCCTAATGGCAGTGGGGAAGGTGTTTAACAGACACTGCTTTGTAGCAGAGATCCGTGGCTGCCTTTTTTTTTAAAACATTTATTTTTTAGTTGTAGTTGGACACAATACCTTTATTTTATTTATTTATTGTTACATAGTGCTAGGATGGAACCCAGTGCCTTGCATGTGCTAGGCGAGTGCTCTACCGCTGAGCCCGAACCCCAGCCCTCCATGGCTGCCTTTTGATGACAAATTGTAAGTCTTCATCAGGACTAAAATATTATCAATCTATCTATCTATCTATCGATCGATCTATCCATCTATCTATGTCGGAGTGGCCTTCATTTCAGAGGTGTCAGTCCTAGGTGGCCAACTCCATTGCTGTGGCCAGAGATGAGGCACAGCACATTGTGGTGGAAGGGTATGGTAGAGGAAAGCAGTTCAGGACACGACAATCAGGAAGCAGTAGGTCTATGATTCATTTCAAGTTAATTTTTGTATATAGTTCAGGATATGGATCCATGCTCATTTTTTTCACATATAAGTGTTAAATTGTTTTAGCCCCATTTCTTGAAAAGAACACGTTTCACCACCAGATTCCCTTTGCATCTCTATTAAAAATCAGTTGTCCAGCTGGGTGAGGTGATCTGTAATCCCAGTGACTGGGGAGGTTGAGGTAGGGGGATCTCGAGTTAGAGGCCTCAAAGTAAAAAAAAAAAAAATAGAAAAAGGCTTGGGATGTGGCTTAGTGGTTAAGTGCCACCCACATGAGGAACTTGTACACTTTTCCTACAGGTGATTATATCTAAGGATATTTGATCAAAGAAGAATATTCTGACCTCCAGGTACAGAGTATTCACCAAGAAACTTGGTTGCCATAGATTTGATCTCCAAAAATATTTTTAAACATTTTCCAAATCAACAAAATTTTAACAGTGGTTCATCTACTTAGGATGCCTGCTTCCCCCCAAATCTGGCCACATCACCTGTATTATGGATGTATTTTCACAAGACTAATAGTGAATTACTTTTATATTTGATGTTAAACTCCTGAGAGGTGAGGATTGCCCACAGTTCCTCTGAATGTGAATTTCTTTGTTGTCCATAAAGAAATCCTTACCTGTGCCTCACTTATTGACTCATCCTGCCATTTTTTTCTGTGACAAATGTTAAGAGTATGGATGGCTCCAAGCTGAAGTACCCCTCTGGAGACAACAGTAGTTTGGGTTCTGCTCTAATGCAAAAAACAAATACTTCATTGAGTCTCAAGAATTTCAATCCCAAAACTCTGCCCAAAGTATCTTGGCCTAAAAAGTTTTCAAATCAGATATTATAATTACCTGCTACTATAAATTATGAATAGCTACCTTTTCCATGAAGTCATAGAAGAATAAGGTGAAAGTGAAAAAAAATCTACAATTTATTTGCCAGAAAATAAAAGATGAAATTAGATGTTTATAGCCATTTATCTATACCATGCTTAATTATTATTTTTAAAAAATATTAGTTATTGATGGACCTTTATTTTATTTATTTATATATGGTGCTTAGAATCAAATCTAGTGCTCACCCATGCTAGGCAAGTGCTCTACCACTAAGCTACAACTCCAGCGCTACCCTGCTTAATTATTTAACTTCATAATGCTTTGTAGGACAACTAATTGCTCAGCTGTGTGATTTATTTGACTTCTATATATACTTAAAAATATTGTATGGGTAGGCAAGGTAATAGATCATGTTTGCATGGCTGATTGCGTTTTCCTCTTCCTCTCTTTTCCTATATGGTGTATCTTGCCAATCATTTTTTCCTTGGATAGGTTGTGTGGTTCCAGGGGCTGGTGCAGTTGAAGTGGCAATAGCTGAAGCTCTTGTTAAGCACAAGCACAGTGTAAAGGGAAGAGCTCGTCTTGGAGTCCAAGCTTTTGCTGATGCCTTACTCATTATTCCCAAGGTACAACCATTCTACTGGCCAAATAATAACTGGTTAGATCTAAAGATGTTTAATTGCATATTGTCCATACTGTTGAACAGTTAGCAGAGGAGAAAGACAGGTACTGATTTGTAAATCCTCACACAGTTTTATATATTTTACAACTCAAGCAGGGAAACTTTTGGGATAATAGCTCAGATCCTTTTAGGAGTTTCATGAAATAGCCTGATTATATTCTTGGTAGCTTTATCAGCCATTTGTTGGGGACCACCTTGACACGAGCCTGTTTTGGAGTGCGGGTGTCTCTCTCTCTGTTACCACAGGTCATGGCTGTCCTCCTGAAGATGAGGGGCAAAAAGGGGCTGCAAATATGCTTTCTTTGGCAAGTGGCTAGGAGAAATTGAGGAACATGTGGCTAGTGGACTAGAGAAAAAATACTATTCTCCTTTTTTCCACATTTAAAAGAATTTTTCAAGAAAGGAAATTAATGGGATGAGGGAACTCGAGTGTCCTCAGAATTTAGTGTGAGGTGCATAGGGGAAATGCTTAAATAAATAAAAACACTACTAAATAGACAATATTTTGATGTAGTTTAAGGATGGAATTCTTCAAAAGGAAATGATTACTGTATTGTGGATATATTTTCAAAAGACTAATAGTGAATTACTTTTATATTTGGTGTTAAAATATATATGTAAAGGTATTTAACACATGTATTTATTATTATTTTTATTCATAAAGGTTCTGGCTCAGAATTCTGGTTATGACTTGCAGGAAACACTAGTAAAAATTCAGGCTGAGCATTCAGAATCAAAGCAACTGGTTGGCATAGATTTGAATACAGGTAAGAAACTGAAGAAAAGTTAATTCCTTAGTAAAGAAAGAAGATATTCTTCATTGATCCAGATCTTATAGTAAGGGTGGGTGTTTGGGTGAATTTATTACTTACATATTGGATGCCTCTAGTTTACTTTTAGATCTCTTAAAACATCCAGAGTCATGAGGTTGTACCGTTTAAATCTAGGAAACTGGATGAGGTCACCTTGGGGATAAGTGCAGAAAAAGAAGAGAAGAATAATGGATTGAACCTTTGAGTACTCCAACATTAAGAGCCCAGGGAAAAGGAACCATTAGTACAAAAGAAAGAAAAATAGGAGAGTGTGGTGTCCTGGAGGACAAAATACACGAGGGTGTTATCAGCTGTGTTAAATTCTTCTGCTGGATGAGGCCTGGAAATTGACCACTGGATTTAACAACATGGAGGTCATTGATGACTCTGACAAAAGTAGTATTAAATATTGTTAGACTATACCAATCAACACTGATTGATTACAGCATAGTATTTAAATGTTTTATTTGAAGCTGGGGTTGTAGCTCA